TGGACAGTCCCAGAAGTTTTCTAGAAAGGAAGTTGCTAGCTGTGTGTGCTGCATATGCAGGTCACGTCCAGGGTTTAAATTAAAAAGTTAACATCGTGAGTGGAAGTGAATAAGCACAAATGTGAAATACTTACATGAAAAGAAACAGCAGACTATGAGAGAAAGCCAAGGATCGCCGTTTGGGTGTGTGCGTCCCATCATTCTCCCGCCTCTGATAGCATAGAGAATACTGATGTTCAGTTTGGGAAGAAAATCCTATTTTAAGATAACATTCAGCTTATCCTTAACCCACTGTGAATAAGCTGCCCAATACCAAAGATCAAGCCCTGTTGCTGCAGTGTGAATAACCATGCAAAAAGAAACCAGGAATTATTATCTGGAGAGATTGGCTTGACCACACAGATGAGTGGCACTGGCTTGAGGGACCCACCAGGTTCCCTGATCTCATCCTCAGCTGCATAGGCTAAAAAAGTCAATTTTGTCACCATATCAAGATATGACTGGACCCAAGACTGACTCACACTAACCGAACTCATAAGAGAACAAGGTATAAAGATAAAAATGTCAATTTACAATTTATATTTACAACGAGAAGCTTTCCTCCTGTTACCAAAAGCACGGCATTTGTCCTCAAGGCCACATCAGAAGAAGGAGAACAAGTTGTTTGAGAAGAAGGAAAGAGAAGTTTATTACTTTGCTGGCAAAGGAGGAGAATGGAGACTACTCTATGAAAAATGCCATTGTCTTAATAATAAGCAAAAATACAGACCTTTTAAAGGGAGGGTTCTCAGCTTCAGGAAATTGGTATTCAACTACAGTTGATGGTTCTGATCGGCCCATCTCCCTGAAGACAATTCCCTGACCTCCCCCCAGGACCTCCCTCTGCCAGGTCCAGGTCGGGCTAAGCCATTTCCTGTAGCAGGAAGAACAAAAGGCATTATCCTGCCCCTCCTGACCACTGGCCTGAGGTAGGGATGCAGGTTTTAGTTCTCAAAAAGGAGTGCAGCATGTTTTAAAGAGACAGAAAATATTTTTGCTATTTTTTCAGGCCATTCCCTCTGTTACACTCCTGATCTTCCTGAATGCTTTTGCATCCGCCTGGAATTATTTCTTTACAATCCTCTCCTCCTCCCTTTGACTGACCAACCT